GTGCCAGACATTGTGCTAGGGACATAAACATGGGTAAGACAGTCTCTTCCTTTTAGGGGCTCACCGTCTAGTGGCGAAATCAAACATGTAAACAGATAATTACCGAAGTGAATGGATATTTAGGATATAAAGATGCACAGAGGAATGAGCAACTGGTTTAACCTGGAGAAGACAGGGAAGGTGTCACAGAAGTGTCATTTAGCCAGATCTTGGATGATTCTCTTAAATTCATCCCTTCTTCTGAGCTTGCTGCTGTAGTCCCTCACCTGAACTATTATGATGGCCCCATAAATGGTCTTGATGCTTCTTATCTTTACCCTTTCCAATCCTTACTTGATTTTGATTCCAGAATTATCTTTCTATATCACTCATCTAATCATGTGAATTCCCAGACTTAAACTTGAGAGGGCTTCCTATTGTCTGCATAGTCAAGTCCAAATTTATCACATAGTGGATAAACCTAAATTCAAATCCAGGCTGTGTCCCTTAGTATAGTGTTGGAGTAGTAATTTTTCTCTCTGAGCTTCATTTTTCTTTTCTATAAAAGGAGTATAACACTTCCCTTGCAGGTTATTAGGATAGAGGAAAGGAAGGGAAAACATTACTTTAGTGAGGTAGCTGTCCATAAGAAGGATTGCACAGCACAGTATAAAGAGTCCAGGTTTTGGCACCAGATAGGCTTGGGAGCAAGTCCTGACTCTGCATATATTGTCTGTGTGACCTTGAGCAAGGTACCCTGAACCTCTTTTGCAAAACCAGATTAATAATACTTTATGTGACTATTAAATATTAGAAATAGTAGCACAAATAGAACAAAAATATTTATGTGTTAGATATATGATATGTAATAATATAAAGCACTGACCACTTACAGACATTCAATAAACAGAAGCAGCTGTTGCTTATTGATACTGAAAATATGCTAGGTTGTTCACCAGTCTTTCCTGTACTGTCTCCCACCACTCCCTGGCGCCTGTCTCTTACCCTGCCACTCCCGGCCTCCCCTGACTGTACCTAAAATGGACAGTATACTTCTACAACTCTGAGGCTTGTTTCACAGCTGGGATTCCCTTCCTTTTGGGTTTTTTGGGGCTTTTTTTGTCTGTTTGTTTCTGATTTTTGTTTTTTTGAGAACTGCCATCCTAGGCCTTTCTCCCATGGACTTATCTGTAGCTTCCTCTAGCAATCAACCCTCCCACTCCCAGGCAGAATCAGTCATTTCTTAATCTGCTTTTCCATCTCCCTTTATTCATAGCTATAGCACTCATCACATTGTATTTGTTATTTGTTGTCTGTCTTCCAAGCTAAGCAGAGACCATATCTTTTCACTGTTGTATCCCCAGCTTCTGGCACAGTACTGGCACATAATGGACCCTCAGTCCATTGAGTAGAAGTTAACTGAATAGAAATTTGACAGAGTCTGAGCCAGATCGGGAAAGACCTTAAATGCCAGGCTAAGGAGTTAAAACTTGACCCTGAGGTTGGTGAGGAGCCATGGAAGATTTTTGAGCAGAGATGTAACATGATCTTGTTGTAAGTTCTTCCAGTGTCAAGTGCTCTTGGCAATACCAGGAGGGGCATTAAGGTGCCCTGTTTCTAGCCTGGTATGTGAGGGCTGGGAGTCTGACTCTGACTGTGTTAACCTCACCCTCCTCTGAACCTCTTCCATTCTGTTCTCGGTCCCTCTATTCGCACTTATTTAAATGCTCCTTGACTTCAAGCGTTGCTGTATCATTGGTTTGTCTCGTCTCCCTGTTAAGAGGGTAAGCCCTCCATTTGTGTGTGTACAGTACGCACATTTTCCTTGCTGTACACCCCCTTCTCCTGAACGTGAAATGAAGCATGTAGTAGGTATTTCAGTAAGTGCTTGTTCAATTGAAATTGAATAGAACTCTCTGGGGATATAAAATTTAGCACAACTGAAAAAAAAATAGTCCAGCTAATCCCCGGAGTGAATCATCTACATGTGGCCCAGTGGAAATGAGGGTGATTCTCTGTAGTTCAGATGTATGGATTGTTCACTGATATATTATCCGTTAGAAATTTTCTGCTATTGGGATCTATAGTCAAGAATAGAGGTGAATTGAGAACTAAAAACTGATTAACTTACAAGTATTCAAACTATGTTGCACTAAGAGTTACATAGAGAATTAATGAATGGAGCATTCCTGAATAGCTCTTTTTTTTGTTTTGTTTTTTTTTGGAGGAAGGTAATTAGATTTTTATTTATTTATTGAAATGGGCGTACTGAGGAATTGAACCTAGAACCTTGTGCATGCCAAGCACGCACTCTACCACTAAGCTATGCCCTCCCCTGCTGAGTAGCTCTTGTTAGAATAATCATCCTGGCTAAGAGGCAGTTGACCCCTTATAAGCAAGCGTTTTAGTCTTTCCTATTTCTCCTGGTAACAAGCACAGGTTTTGGATTTTAGAATAACCCAGAACCAATCAGTAGCAGATACTTAGAACATTTTAGTATAAAACAGAATTGCATAAGAGCCATGAATTCTTAACTTCTTTAACTCTCAGAGTCAAGCTTAATACTCCAGGGAAAAGGCAGTGGGACAGCTACCATGAATTGTTTCTATTGGCAGAAAAACAAGGAAGTGGAACGGTTTCCTCTGTAGGCACACACTTAACAAGCAGGTGCTTTTGTGAGCACCCCCTGGAATGGGAACTGGCAGGGCTTTTTTTGTGTAGCTGTTTATTAGCCAGATGTATATACTCCTGTCATCATCACCCTAAACAACATATAGAACATTTCTGTCACCCTAGAATCACACCTCATGTTCCTTACAGTCAACCCCACCCCCCCAACCCAACCCAGGCGGCCTCTTACTGGATTTCTCTCACTGTAGATTCTAGAATTTCATGTAAATGGAATTATAATATATATAAGATGTACTTTCATATCTATGCCAGTCACTTTCTGCCAGCAGTTTATTGAGTCTCTGCCACGTTGTCAACCTACACTACTTACCTCACGGCCCCCTCCCCATACACATGCAATCCTCTGCCTTCCTTAACTTCCCCATGAGTAAATTGGGTTTTTCACCAACTCTAGGAAGGTGTGGGTCCCAAGCCCATTTACTGCATTAACTTGAACTTCCTCCATCCTCTGACATTTCTAAATAAAACAGGTTTGGAACATGAAAGAGGCAGCAAATTAAATGCTATTTCCCCCCTATTTATGCCCCTAGAGGAGCCCTAATGACGAGATTATTCCCTCACTGCCACATGGGGCCTCATTGAAATAATAGGATTTGCAAGGAAACTATCTGGGAGACACAAGGCTGCTCCCTCTGCCCCCTATCCATTAAGTCAGGACTGAGGTTTCCTCTGTAAATCCTGAATGCATTAGTGGCAACTGGGTGAGGGTCAAATGTCAGATACTCTGCTGTGATGGGGGAGGACATCTGTGGCTAATTAGACCACTAATTGGCTAAACTGGGGATGGGGAAGGGCAGGCACTGCCCTCAGCTCTGCACCAATGGGAAGCCAGTTCCCTGTCCAGCCTCCAGCTCCCTGAAGGGGGATGAAAGACAATGAGAAGGTTTGTTTGCAGCAGAGGCAAGGCACTCTACCCCATCTCCCCCAGTTCAGCATAAGGCAGGATGTGGCTTTAGGAACTGGCCCTGCTTTAATCAGGAGAGTAAGAGGGAGCCAGTGACCAGATATCTGCCTCTTCTGGCTCACTTTAGATTAATCCTTTACTTTGGAGATAAGAGTTACACACCCACATAAACCCATCCTTTTTCCCTGCCCTGGGCTGATTTCTCTTTTTTTAAATGTATTTGTTTATTTAATTTGTTTATTTTTATTTGAAGTTTAGTTGATTTACAATATTGAAATTTAGTTGATTTACAATTACAGTTTAGTTGTGTTAGTTTCTGGTGTATAGCATAGTGATTCACACACATATATATATTCTTTTTCATCATAGCTTATTACAGGCTATTGAATATAGCTCCCTGTGCCATACAGTAGGACCTTGTTGTTTATCTATTTTATATATAGTAGTTTGTATCTGCTAATCCCAAACTCCTAATTTATGCCCCCCCTCCCCTTTGGTAACCGTAAGTTTGTTTTCTACGTCTGAGTCTGTTTCTATTTTGTAAATAAGTTCATTTGTATCATTTTTTAGATTTCACATATAAGTGATACCATATGATAGTTGTCTTTGACTTATTTCACTTCATATGATAATCTCTAGGTCCATCCATGTTGCTTTATTTCTATATGTATTTATGTAGATATATATATATATACACAATATATAGATAGATATAAATATATAGATATAGATAAATAAATATATAGAGAGATATATTCTTTATCTAATCATCTGTCAATGGACATTTAGGTTGCTTCCATGTCTTGGCTATTGTGAATAGTGCTGCTGTGAACATTGGGGTGCATGTATCTTTTCAAATTAGAGTTTTCCCCAGATATATGCTTGGGCTGATTTCTTGAGTGACCCTGTTTGAAGATGTTTAGAGGCCTCAATTAACACTCACATAGGTTGAATGGCATTTATTTATTGATCCATTTATTACTGCATTTGGAATACACTTAAATAGTACCTGCCATATGCAAATTGTGGTGCTAAGAACCCTGGAGCTTCCAGAGATCATTTAGAGGATCTTTGCTTACAAAGATCAGTGCTATGATCTTGCTTAGCTTATAATCAAGCTGGCTCGTGTAGGTTATAAGCATTAACTGCTATATGAGGGGGGCTATGAAATGGCAAAAGATGGATACAAACAATGTTTCAGGAATTCCAAGATGGGAAACGTTTGTGGTTTAGAGAATCATGGAAAGCGTCATAGAGGAGGTGCCTTTTGAGCTGAACCTTATCAGGTGGGGAGAATTTCAATAGGTAGAGATGAGGTTGGAAACTTATTTGAGGAAAAGAACAAAAGTAAACATGAGGAGGGATTCCGTGCACATGTTTTTGGTGAGATGGTAGCATCCATGTTGTAGCATATTGTCTCTCTGAGGCAGGTGGCTTCCTGGCTGAGAACCTCACTTTCTCCTTGCTTTGCAGATCAATGAGCTGAGCAATGTCCCTGTCCCTGTCATGCTAATGCCAGATGACTTCAAAGCATACAGCAAGATCAAGGTGGACAATCATCTCTTCAATAAGTAAGTTGCCTACTGAGTGGGCACAGGTATTGTGGGCAATTCTCTCCCTTAAAGCAGAGAGCTTCTGAAACCTCTCCGTGGTGGGGGCCAAGCCAGCACCTGGCAGGGTGTGAAGCGACACCTGGATCACAGCTGAAAGCTGGCTGGGAAAATGCATTCATTATATGCCCCTCCCCCTTGTGTTGTCCTGTCAACTCAGTCCTTTATCAGCCTACCTCCAGTGTCCCTCAGAGCACGTGGCTTGGCCCAGGGTGATTCATCTAGGGCCAGTTTAGGTAAAAGTGAGCTGCTTGGGAGCAGAGGTATCCAGTGTGAGGCTGACAGTAGTTGCCCTATCTTGATCTTAGTCTGAGGCAAGAAGCTGCCAGGCATGTTCTGGGGCCTGGGATGCAGCCAAGCTCCTTTATTTCCAGCTAGTGTGTGAACAACAGACTGAGCGTGGTGCCCAAGGGCACTATCCAAAATCATTCTTCTCATTTTTGTTCACTGTGGCTTCTTGGATTAACATTGGTGTCTAAAGTTTGTCACAGGCTTTGACGGAGCACCCGTCTGACCTGGCACAGTTTGGGGCCTGCTCTAAGCCCTCTAGGGACCTAGCTTTTTCATCCTTTGATGGGTCACCCCAGTAACTATTTGCTGCTCACACTCTCTTCCTTTCAACATTTGAATCTTGGTTCCACTCTCCATTGTCCCACAGTCCCCACCACCTCACCGGCTGGGCTCTGTCACCCTACCGTTCCCAGACTGTTAGCCTGAAGGAGAAGCTTGATTTGAAAACATCCTTTAGTGGCCTCTCTCTGCCATAGTAAGTAATAACAACATCGTATTCTAGAAGCCGCCTGTCTTCAGAGCTGCTGCTTGCGAAGTGGCACCTGTAGCAAAGAAAAGCTCTCCTGTGTTTTTTCCCTGTTCTCTCACTACTACTCACTTCTAACACCAAATGTGTGGGTTTTCCATACATCAAGCAGTTTTGTAGGACACCAGCTAAGTGTCTTACAATTCAATTCAGTTTTGACTGTGTTTACCAAGTTAGCATCACGTATCACAGGTTAAGGGCTGAGTCTCACAAGACTGCCCCCCTCCCCTTTCAGATGCTGATCTCAAGTCCAGATTGTCACCTATGCTTCTGACCAACTTAGTATAGATTGGAGGTTCCCATGACCCTCCCTCTTGGGTTCGACTAATTTGTTCAAGTGGCTCACAGAACTCAGGAAAACAGTTTACTTACTAGATTGCTGGTTTATTATAAAAAGATGCAACTCAGAAACAGCCAGATGGAGAGAGGCAATAGGGCATGGTATGTGGGAAGTGGCGGGCAGCTTCCATAGCCTCTCCAGGCACCACCCGCCCCAGACCTCCACGTGTTCACCAACCTGGAACCTTCCGAACCCTATCCATTTGGATTTTTATGAGGGCTTCATTTTATGACAGCATGATTGACTAAGTCAGTGGCCATTGGTGATTGATTCAACCTCCAGCCCCTCTCCTCTCCCTGGAAGTCAGGGGGATGGGACTGAAAGCTCCAACCCTCTCGTTCTGGTTGGTTTGCCTGGCAATGAGCACTCATCCTTAGAGGTTTTCCAAGTCACCTCGTTAACATAAATTCAGGTATACTTGAAAGGAGCTTTGAAACATTGAAAGACACCTTTACTGCTCTCATCACTTAGGAAATTCCAAAGATTTTAGGAGCTCTGTGCCAGAAACAGGAACCAACACTACATATATATTTGTAATTATATCCAATATCACACCACCTAAGGAAGGAGGGGCAGCCCTAGGCTCTGAGGCAGGAAGTGGGGTTGTTTTGTGCCAGAGGGCAGAGCTCTGGAAGTGGACATTGTACCAGAGTCTTGACATCTTGGCCTAAAGCGGACATCCAGTATTTTTTTTGTTTTCTTCTTTCTTGATTCCTTTTGTCCTTTCAACAACTGTTTGCATCCTAGTTCTCAGACTGCAGTGCTATTTACTAGAAGACGGGGGTACATAGGCAGACCAGGCCCCTGCCTTCCTAAGAAGCCACTGCTTTTTATTTCCTTGAAGTCCACCATCCTGGAGTAGTCAGAGGGACACAATCCCTTTTTTCCCCCAGTGTTACTGAGATATAATTGGCATACAGCACTTTTTTATAAGTTTAAAGTATACAGCATAATGACTTGACTTACATAAATCATGATATGATTACTACAGTAAGTTTAGTGAACATTCATCGTGTCACATAGATATAAAATTAAAGAAATAGAGAAAAAGTTTTTTCCTTGTGATGACAACAGAGGGACATAATTCTTTTTTTCTTTTTTTCTTAAAAAATTCTTTATTGCTAAAAAATTAAAACCATCTTCTGACCCTTCAGTGAGTCATAATCTTTTTGCTGGTGGAGGGTTTGAAATATTGTGAGAGTTACCAAAATGTGACACAGAGACACAAAGTGAGCAAATGCTGTTGGACAGAGGGCCATGTTTCTGAAAGGGAGTTCCCAAGCAGGATGACTGTTGTCAAGGTGGAGGATTTGGAGGAGGCATCCCTTCAAGGTGATTCTCTTCCGTCCTTGGAGTCTGTGGATTGACTAAAGAGTGGGGAGGGTGAAGATTGGTGCCAGAAGCCAGCGAACAAGAGTTCGTGGAAAGATGGGATCCCAGTTAGTTGACTGAGGACCTCTTCAATCTAAAGCACCCTCCCCTTCCATCCCAGTGGAAACCAAGGGCAGGGCTTCCTGGGTGTAACCATCTTCAGGGTGTTTTGATAGGAACATCCCCAGAGGAGAGGGACCCTTTGATGAGAAAGGCCTTTCCCTTCAGCAGTCACACTGACATTAGCCTCACAGCAGCTGTTCCTGTGCAACCACCCACCTGTGGCTGCTACAGCACTTGTGAAGTGGGGCCGACACTCAGTCTCACTTCTTTGCAGGTAAGGTTTTTTCCCTTTAAAATCTTGTTGAAAGATAGCATGCACTCAGAAAAAGTACCCAAATCATAAGAATAGAGCTAGATTAATTTTTACAGTGTACACAAGGATTGTGAAGTTTTTAAACCTTATCATGCTTAGAATCCCTGGAGTGTTTCTTAAAAATGAAGATTTCCATTCAACAAATCTGTATTGAGCACTCAGTGTGCCAGGCACTGTATAAGGCGCTGGTGCTTCCTTGGTGCCCTGGAGGAGCATATAGTCTGGAGGGGAAATAAACATGAAATACATGATTTCAGAACAATAGGAGAGATTTACAATACAGCAGGTAATTCTGATGTTCACCCTGGGTCAAAAACCCCTCTGGAAAGGAAGTTACAGGGAGGGGATAGCACCCAGGGCAGTTTCCACGTTCTTCTTGTACGCCATGAAGCAGGTGGATTTGGAGCTAATGTTTGACCAAAAAGACGGTAAACTTTGTGTAAATACTACCTCAAAAAATCTGAATTAAACAAACAAAAAAATACAGATTTCCGGACGTAACCTTCAGAGTTTTGCGGGCTTAGCAACTTACATTTTAAGTACTGCAGATTGTTCAGATCCAGACGACCTGTGGACCACACTCTGAGAAGTCCTGTTGTGTGAATTAAATGAGCGAGAGGTTTATAAAAACACGTCTCTGCTTTTCCCTAGAGAGAACCTCCCCAGTCGCTTTAAGTTTAAGGAGTACTGCCCCATGGTGTTCAGAAACCTTCGGGAGAGATTTGCAATTGATGATCAGGATTACCAGGTATGGGATGTCTTTGCGAAATCGGAGGGGTTAGGGAATGGAGGGGAGGTCGGGAAGTCACGGGACAAGTAGAGGGAAAACGTGTCTACCGTTCTTGTGCTCATCTTCCCGTCACGTCTCACTCCAGCCCAGGCAGCCTTTTCCCCAGGGTTGGTGGGCTTTTGGAGGGGTGAGGGCCTTGGAAGTGCTTCTGATGGTGCCTCACAGGGTCCGGCTCCTTTCCCAGGGAGGGAGAGCAGTGGGAGGGAGAGGAGTCTACAGAAGCGGCTTCATTTCAGTCTGACATCCCCAGTCTGGGCTGAAGAACCCTTCTCCTCCATGGTTTGACTTAAAAGAGAGAGAATTGTTGCCAGTGGGAGATGCGGCTTCTTAAAGCAGATAAGATAAGACAGATTAGAAAAGGCAGACTTCAAGGGTCATGTGACCTCTTGCCAGCTCTGCGTGCCGTCCCCGAAATTTGTCCCCTGTCCTGACGTTGAGAGGGGGGCTAAGCACTGCAGGGCAACTACTCCCTTTGGGGGCGATCATGTGAGAGAGGCCTTTGGCCTGTTGGGAGGAATCAATCCCAGTATCAGGGACGTTAAAGTCTGACTCATAGTCTGTGGCTTCTATTACTTCTCCCCCTCACACCTTTCTTGGATTTCTTTCCCTGGCCTAGTGGTGAAGGCGGGAGAATTTTCCACTTTCCTTGTGTAGCAGTAAGAAATATAGCTGATTTTCAGTTGTCTGTGGGGGAAAAAAGGAGTGTACAGCCTAGGGAAATCTAAAATGGATGCCCATATCTTGCAAAATACTGTAATTCCTCCCACCCCTTCCCAGGAAGTCTTTCACAGAGTAGTTCACGAGAAGCAGGATGGGCCCCCAGTGAGTCCGTCCCCTCTGTCCTCCACTCTGGAGGACCTACTGAGGAGGAGGGGGAGGGAACATGAGAGGAGGGAGAGATGCCAGGGACTTGAACAGTCAGGAATGGCTGTATCTAAGAGGTGGTGGGAGGTCCTCCAGCCCCTCCTGTTGGGACCAACCCTGAACTAAATCATGACCTGATCAGAGCATGAGGTTTTCTGAAAACTTCGTGCCATTATTGCAACCTCAGGTTGCTCGAGTGTCTTCCTTCCACTGTGGCTCTTTCCTTTCCCCTTGGCCATCTAACCACATCCTCTCAGTGTCAGCATGTTTTCTCTAATAGCCTTGTGGGCAAATGATTGTGCTCAAGACTGCAGTGGGGCCTGGAGGATGGTCCTCGGGGAGGGGGCTCTGTGCTCTTAGACTCCCAGTGATTTAGAGAGTCAGGAAACACTGCCTGGAAATGAGGCAGGGATAGAACCATACTTGCCAGTCCTCTCTGCCTTCTGACCTCCTGAAGGTCTTTTCCCGGCAGCTGCCTGTTGAACACAGCCCTTTGGTTGACTCATACCTTCCCTACTCCCTCCCCCCTTAAGGCTTCCCCTTGCCTTCTAGTCCTAATGGGAATGGGAGGAGCCGAGATAGAACTAGAAAAGCTCCCCAGATCTGCCTCAGAGCTCTGCACAGACAGGCAGGAGTCTGAGGTGAGGGGAAGGCGAGGGGAGAGGTGTTGGGCAGAGCAGTGAGGACCAACTTCCTGCTTTGAGAAGCATCAGGGTACATACAGAAAATAAAGAGGACTGTGTCCATTCCTTCTTTGTGCTAGACTTCTTATCTTTGTTACTCGAAGAGACTGGGGAAGTCATCTCTTGTCTGCCTGCTTGTGTTCTAGGTGAGGACACTCAGGAGTGGAGAAGTTTAGTGGCTCACCCAAGGTCGTGTTACATGTGAGCATCAGGATAAGAGGCCTGCTCTACCATCCGAGGCTTGAGTTTTAGTTTATAGAGTAGCTCTCTGGGATCAGAGTGAAAGGAAATGGTTCACAGTCAGTCCTCTAGCCATCCCAATCAAGGATTAGGAGCAGGTGGTAAGGAACAACTCTTGTCTCTCTTGAGGAAGATTTTTGGGAGAGATGTGAACTTTCATTAGAAAAGAGGTGGGGTAAGTTCCCATCGTTCTTAGTGTTGTTGGCTTTAGAACAGTCTGGCCCATGAGAGAAGACTCAGTAAAAGTCAGAGTCCTTGTTCCCCTCCCAAGGCCAGCCCGCTTTTGTCTCGGTCCCTCAGAATTCAGTGACGCGCAGTGCCCCCATCAACAGCGACAGCCAGGGCCGATGTGGCACACGTTTCCTCACCACCTATGACCGGCGCTTCGTGATCAAGACTGTGTCAAGTGAGGATGTGGCTGAGATGCACAACATCTTAAAGAAATACCACCAGGTATGGTGAGTCCTGAGCCTGGACAGCAGAGGATGGGCTGGAGGAGGGAGAAGAGAGAGGTCCTTGGGGAGGGCTCCGTCCTCTCTGGTAATGGCAGATGCCGCCTGAGAACCAGGCACTTGTCCTCCCCCAGGGCCATGTTTCTGTGAGGTGAAATGCCTACTTGAGAAAAAGAAAAAGAAATGAAGGCATGTCATGGACACAGTCCCAGCTGAACAGCTGTTTCTCATCAGAGTTGGGATGTTTTTGCACTCTGGCACCTGCCTCATTTCTTCTAAAAGAGGTCCTGTCTGCTCAGCAGGGCTGCTGCTTTTCCTGTTCCACCCTCCTCTCCTCTGAAGCCTAGCAGGGAGTGCCTGTCCTCAGCCTGCCTGGGTCTTCAGGGAAAGCTGGCTTCTCTCTGGGCACCTAAGAAGTGGTGAAAGGGACTTGCAGTGTTTGGGGAGTTAGAGCAGAAGACATGGGGCATGGTGTGGGTGAGAGCTCTGGGGAAGGAGTCATTCTGTTTTCCCAGACGGCCGCATCATAGTCCTGCCTCTGCATCCCCTTTCTGCCCTTAAGCGTTCCCATTTCAGGCCGGCAGAGGAGATGCAAGGCCTAGATCAGCGATTTTCCTTCAAAATCCTAATAATATTAAGGTGAAGGGGCTCTGCACTGCCTGCCCAGCCTCTCACTCTGGGCAGCTGTTGTCTATTGTGAGTCTGAGGAACCCCATGACTTCACAAAATTCAATTTGAAAACCAATAGTCCAGAGGCTAGAATCCCAGGGAACATTTCAGCCTGGGGAGAGCCCTGCCCATCCTGGCACCTTCATACGTTCCTTTCCTCCCTTCCTTTCTAGTTTATAGTGGAGTGTCATGGCAATACCCTTCTGCCACAGTTCCTGGGCATGTACCGCCTGACCGTGGATGGCGTGGAAACCTACATGGTGGTCACCAGGAATGTGTTCAGCCATCGGCTCACTGTACACCGCAAGTATGACCTCAAGGTAAGAGGTTCTGTGTTTCCCAGCTCTGTGGCTGCCTTCTCTCTGGGGCTTGGAGAGGCTACGACTCTAATTTCCACATAATGGGAATAAGTGGAGCAAATGTTTTGGCATGGACAAATGACTCGAGAGTTGATATGCCTAATTCTTGTGGGTTAAAGGCTGTTTGAAGTCCAGGTGACAGTGACAAGAGGTTATTTAAACCCCAGATGTAACAACTGATGTTCTTCAACTCCTGTCAGGGGGATGTGTGCACCGAAGGCAGCAGTATGGGAACAGGCTGTGCTGACGCACGCACCCTGGCAGCTTTCCAGGCCCCGTGGACTGACAGCACAAGCGAATTTCTAGACACTGAAGAGAACACATTAGCTGAAACTAGCACAACATCATAAATCAGTGATACTTCAGTTAAAAAAAACAAAAACACATTGGTGCCTGTGAACTACAGCAACCACAGCTCTCCACTGCTCCTGAACCTGGTTTCCTGACCCCTGTTACCTTGCGCCGCTCCCCCGTCTCTGTTGCAGCTACACTGGTTTCCTTCCCATTTGTGCAGTGCCTGTGCGCTCCACCTCCCCAGGATCCCACACAGGCTGCCTGCAATCCCCTCCCTGCCTGTTTCTCCACCTCCGCCTTCCCCCACCTAATTCCTTCCTACTTAGCCTTGTGAGCTCAGCTCAAATATCACCTCTTCTAAGAAGCAGGCTTTGGTTACTGCCCCTCTCCAGTCCAGACCCGGCCTCTGTGCTACATGCTCTCAGAGTGTCCCGTCTTCTCCCCTGTACCACTTTGCATCATTGTAATTAACAGATTAATTAATCGTGTAGCTACTGTGTAATGTCTAGCTTCCCTGTTAGAAGGAAAGTTCCTTAAGGGCAGGGGCTGAGTCTCTCCTATTTCCTGAGCATGTGTCTGGTATAGGCAGATCTTTACAAGCAGTCTGTGACAGTGGAAGTGAACCAGTTGCTGCCTCCTGGCCCCTCTAGGAGTCTAACCAGCCTACTTGAATTCAACTGCTGCCTCTCCCCAAAGACTGGTGCATGTTTTTTCACTCAACGGAATTTGCCTCAGCTGGACTTCTCCTGATGGCTCTTATCCTTTCAGGGTTCTACTGTCGCCAGAGAAGCGAGTGACAAGGAGAAGGTATGCTGGGACCTGAGCTGATCAGTTGTGTAATGGGTCACATGGAATCGGAAAAACCTTCTGTCGGCCCGCTTGTCCCTGTCTCCACCATCGCCCCAGCCCAATTCCTAGACTCGCAGACATGCTCTGTGTCACTAAGCACCTGCCTTTCCTCATCCTTGGCCTAGGCCTTCGTCTCCAGCCTTTCACCTCTGCCCTTGCTGGGTTCTTCATCGTCCTGGAGGTCTGGCAGTTTCTATCATACAGTCCAGCCTGAATAAGTGAGTCATCCAGGCTCAGCAGGAAGTCCTTTGGTCAGTCCCCAGTGTCTGACATATGCCACATATTTGCCATCCCTGCCTGCCTGAAGCCTGAGTCTGTAGACTCCTAGACTAAGCTCCTGATCTGGCAGGTTGGCTAAGGACCCTTTTCTTTCCTGTACCATTGCCCTCAGCAGAGGACTCCTTGGGGTGAATAACCTAACACGGCTATTGCTCTTCCAGGCCAAGGACTTGCCAACATTCAAAGACAATGACTTCCTCAACGAAGGACAGAAACTTCACGTGGGAGAGGAGAGTAAAAAGAACTTCCTGGAAAAACTGAAACGGGATGTAGAGGTACGTATTAATCCTTGTTGTTGCTTTGCTTGAGCAGCACTCCCTCTTGTCCCCAGAGGAGGGGCCTCTTTAACATTAACGAAAATTGAATTCAGGAGTGTACTCAAAAGGGAAGATGGCGATTTGAGCAGTGTGGGTAGTTATTTGTATCAAAGCTATAGCAAATGAACATTCCATTTGGGGGGACACAGTTTGTGCAAGTAGAACCTTTGTAACTCAGTTTGGAATGCTTTCCCTAATCTCTTCACTAATCTGTTTTCAACCTCATTTTCAAACCTCTTCAAACTTCCTTTCTTGTAGTATCCCCATGGTGGAGGGGGCATCCAGCTGTCAGAATGACAGGAAGCTATTAAGATCCACCAACCATGCCTTTCTCTAGGTCTGATTCTCCTCTTACCTAGCAACTTTCTGGTTGAAATGGGACTTCCTATGGAGAATTCCTCCAGGGGAGACAGGTGCTAAATAATGAATGTGATATCTGGACCACTTAATAACTCAGTGTCTCCTTTTTTAATAAGTTGGGGAGCCTGCTCATTAAAACCAAACACTACAGATTTTAAAAAATGTTTTACTGTTTTTTTATTGTGATAACATATGCATAACATAAAATTCACCATCTTAACCATTTTTAAGTTTAATGGCATTAAGTGCATTTATGCTGTTGTGCAGCCATCCCCACCATTCATCTCCAGAACTTTTTCATCTTCCCAAAGTAAAACTCTGTACCCAAGAAACACTGATTCTTCATTCCCCCTTTCCCCTTGCCTTTGGCAACCACCATTTACTTCATGCCTCCATGAAATTGACTACTCTAGGACCCTCATGCAAGTGGATCATATAATATTTGTCCTTGTGTCTTGCTTATTTTACTTACCATGAAGTCTTCAAGGTTCATTCATGTTGTACTGTGTGTTAGAATGTCCTTCCTTTTTGAGGCTGAATAATATTCCATTGCATGTAAGTGTGTACTACATTTGATCTTCCATTGATTCCTCCATCAATGGACACTTGGTACATTAGTTAAGATTCTCCAGAGAAACAGAATAGGGTGTAGTTAGATAGATAGATGTTTATTATAAGGAATTGACTCACAATTATGGAGGCTGGCAAGTCCCAAGATCTACAGTTGGCAAGCTAGAGACCCAAGAGCGAATGTAGTTTTAGTCCAGAGGCCAGCAGGCTTGGACCCAGGAAGAACTGATGTTTCAGTCTACATCTGAAGAGAGGAAGAAACTGATGTCTTAGCTCAGAGGCAGTTAGGCAAGAGGAGTTAGCTATTTATTTATGTATTTGTTTTATATATATATATATATATACTTTTTTATTGAATTATAGTCATTTTACAATGTTGTGTCAAATTCCAGTGTAGAGCACAATTTTTCAGTTATACATGAACATACATACATTCATTGTCACATTCTCTTTTGCTGTGAT